GAAAGAAGGGAAGAGGGAGGGAAAAAAAGTTGTGTTGTTTTCTTCATGGCGCCGGCAAGGGATGACAAGCATCACGCTGTAAAAGATGCTTCTGACTTATCTGCTTCATTTTTCTTCCCATTTCGCTGTCTCTTTTTCGGCTGTTCAGCAGAGACGCCAGTAGGAACTGCATTTTAATCACGTTTGGCTAATAGAGGGAGGACTTGAAACAAAAAAAAAATCGGGTCTAAGGAACGCAGAGGAGTATTGTCTCACTATGCAAAACAAACTGAAGTGTTTGCTTTTCTTCTTTCTATCATACGCATACATCTGATGGATCATTTCTCACTATCTGTATTCTCCCCTGATATGTACGTCTGTCCTTCTCTTTGACTTTCTGTGATTGCTTCTTCAGTCTGAACTTTGCTGTTCTCACAGCACTTTTTGATTGTTTTTGTTTCAACTTTGTCCTGTTTTGTTCATTTGCCCTGAATAACTATAGATTAAATTGCAATCAGCATTGTTCCGACAAGAGTAGAGATTGTGGCTCGGTCTTTGAGTTACCAATAAACAAACAGTCATTTTGAAAAGCACTGATTTCCCATGAAGATTCCCACACTTTTGTCACACTACGACCACACCACGATCAACTGATGCACCACAAATTGTGAAAGAGAAGAAAAAATAAACTGTTTTGTTAGAAATAAAATGGTGCCATGAATTTCTCTTTAGACCCCTTTAGTCCAATATCCTTAAATGAAAGCTAGTGCAACAAACAGTCTTCAGAAGGTAACTACTTGGCAAACAACGTCAAATGGTGGGTAATCTAATCTCAGTAGGTCTGAGAGGTTCATTAGAGTACATTAGTGAACGAGCTGCTTCACAAAACCAAGGAACACACCAGACAGGTCTGAGACGAAGAGAAGTTTTTTTTTTTTACAATAAACAAAAAAAAAAACATTTCAACTTTATGACATCTCACATAAAGAGCACTATCGATCTGAAATTTGAAAATGAAATTGGTATGGCACAACTGCAAGACTACAAATAAACAGCTGCAGAGATCCGACAAATCTGGCCTTATGTTGAAGAGTGGCTGAAATAAAATGATTGCTGGAACAAAGCCAAATGAAAGCAGTTTGCCACGATCCATGTGGGGAACATGGCAAAATATGGAAGAAAGTGTTCGGGTCAGATGAGACCAAAATTCAGATTTGTGCTCTGTAGACAAACCGTTATGTGTGGCAGAACAGCACCGTAGTACACCTTACCTACATCATGAGAGCTGTGTGGAAGGTGTACTCATCTCCAAAAATGTTTATTCTCTACTGTGTGGTGGTTCGTCACATCAATTCCAATTAAATTTGTTAAGTTTTCTGGTTGTAATGTGACAAAATGTAAAAAAAAAAAAAAAAAAAAAAAAAAAAAAAAAACTTCCCAAAAAAATATCCCCGAGGAATTTCTTTTTTTTTTTTATTATTTAAATTGTATAATTTGT